TCTGGGCTGCATCTTCCTTCCCAAGTGCTACATGATTGTGCTGAGGCCTGATCTGAACACAAAGGAGCACCTGACAACCAGAAATTAAGGGAACACCTGATTCTTAAAATAGGCCATGTTCCCGATGCCCAGAAGTGCATAAAGGAAACACACTTGCTCATCCATGTTGCTCATTCTTCATCTGTGAAAGAGATTGTGTTTCATTCTTAGCCCAGGTTTTGTGTAGTCCTGTTGGACATGAACCGTAAGATGGGAGGAAATGTTTTTGCTACCTTGCTTTGCCAAGGACTACAATGAGTCCTGGTCTACTGCCCTTAGTTTGTAAAAGTTTTATCATTTAATCATTTTTTGCTTTGAGAAGTTATATTTTATCTGACAACCCAGATAGGCTGGAGGGAGAGAGGAGTTAGGTCTTTGAGTCTGTTTGCTTTGTCATGACTACCTATTAACCATATCAATTCTAATATTCCACAATTACTGTTTGGTTATGCCAGTTCTATGTATTCAATTTTCTATGCTCCATTTCCCGCATTTATGCGCTATCATTCATAAGCTCACTTCACATCATTTTGTTTTCCTAAGCTTTGTATATCAATAAACTGAGAAATTCATTTAAGTTCTCTTCTGTGGTTCATTGGTTTAATTTCTGTATTGTGTAAGCTCTGCTCCCTGTTCCAGAGAGTAGCAACGGACCTTAGCCAAGCCTTGACTGGGATCAGTGAACTTTATTGCACTGGCCAGGGTTAGGAATAGGGTTAGGGGCGGGCGAGGCAGGCGGGAAGAGAGGGGAGCGGGAACTCCGGCGCTCATGGAGTGGCAGGCTGCCTATGCCAATCTGGGCGAGTCATTGTGAAAGGAGGTGGGGAGAGTAGAGCTGGGGAAGGCAATGGGTCACAAAAGGCAGCAATGGAAAGCGGGGAGAGGTGGGGCGGGGTTTAGTGGAGAGTGGTCACGCCCACTAGGCTGGGCAAGGCCAAAGCTGGGAGGAGCCTCTGGCTTGACTTATTTCATTATTATTACTAATATTAATTAGTAATACAATATTAATTGGGGGAATGTATTATAATATAATATATAATATAATATATAATTATATTATTATACAGGGTGATTCATAATAAAATATACAGTTTCAACACCCTATAAAAAAGAATATAATATATTTCATGTTACCTGTGACAGAATTGTAGGGGAATGTTTAAGTATTTTAGAAACAGTCAGAGATGTTCTATGTGTGCACCCTTTGTCACACGACACACATCACAATCGAAAATGCCGTTGCACAACAAACTCCGTTTTGCTCAATTCAAGAACACAAAACGCCTTCTCCACTCCAGACGCCGCCATTTCGCCTGACTAGTCACGTGACACGCGCACTCTCACCTCCATCACTTCCCTCAGTCGCGGAAGACAAACTGTATCAGTACATCTGCCTCACGGTTCGCAGCTGTGGTCCGTGTCGGCGCCTGTCTTACAGGATCTGGAAAATGTATATTTCATTATGAATCACCCTGTATTATATTATTTCGGTGTCCAATCACTGCATTACTATAGGATACTTCATTTCAATCAATCAAATCTTTATTACGGTAGTAGACCAGCATCAGTAGGGTGGGGTACAGTCATTTCCAAACTGTAAAACGTAAAGCTAAAAAATATTAAAACACAAAGTATACATAAAAGTCTAAAAGAAGCGAAAAGACGGGTTTCGGAGCATTAAACAGATGTGGAAGAGCATAAAAGGTTAGTATATAAAAGACTCTGGCCCTCCATTTCCAGGCCGCTCTGAGATGAGTGTTCATGAAATCTAGTGTCACAACAACAACCATTTCTTTATACCCCACCATCTGGCTTGGTTTCCCCAGCCACTCAGGGCGGCTCCCAATAGAACATGAAAAACACGAGAAATACATCAAACATTACAAACTTCCCTGAACAGGGCTACCTTCAGGTGTCTTCTAAAAGTCAGGTAGTCGTTTCTTTCCTTGACATCGGCTGGGAGGGCGCCACCACCAAGAAGGCCCTCTGCCTGGTTCCCTCTTTGTGGCCCAGGTCATCATCCGATGAATTGGGAGCGTCATTTATTTCTGTGTTTATAATTAAAGAAAACATGCATTTTAAAAGTATTGCACCTTGATTGTAATATTAAGCATGCACTTAAAATTACTACTCACAACAATGAATAAGTGATTGAAATGCACACATAGTTAAGCAGTATAAATATGTGTGAACAATGTTCTTAAAAACATTTGTTAACCAAGTCTAATATTACTATCTTGTTGTGATTATTATTACTTTTCTTGCTACTAATCCCAGTGGCTTACAAGACTGAGCTCCATTCTGCCTTGGTCAGACGTCACCTGGAATACTGTGTCCAGTTCTGGGCACCACAATTTAAGAAGGATGTTGACCAATGGGAAGAAACCCCTCCAGAGAGATGCTGGTTCAGGCAGCCCCCTGAACTTAGACTACGAAGCCTCTGAGGGCGTGCAGAGTGCAAATCCCCCCAGGGGCCCCTCTCTCTCCTGGGCTCACCTGGGGGCCCTGTCCCTGCCAGCCTCTCCAGCCTCTGAGGGCGTGCAGAGTGCAGATCCCCCCGGGGCCCCTCTCTCTCCCGGGCTCACCGGGGGCCCTGCCCCTGCCAGCCTCTCTGGCCTCTGAGGGCGTGCAGAGTGCAGATCCCCCCAGGGGCCCCTCTCTCTCCCGGGCTCACCTGGGGGCCCTGCCCCTGCCAGCCTCTCCGGCCTCGGAGGGCGTGCAGAGTGCAGCTGGTGTCCCTGGCGGAGGCAGAGGCAGGAGGGCCATGGAGCCAGGCTTTGAGATCCCCTCGGAGGGGAAGGGGCCACCTTCCAAAGGCCCTGCAACTCCCGCCAGCCTCTGCCAGCCTGGTCCACACTGGGGGGGGGGCAGACTTCCCAGCATGCATTGCCAGCTCTGCCAGGCCAATGGTCGATTCCCAGCCTCAATAAATTTGAAATTTGCTGGTTTTCCCAGTGTATAACCAAATCAATCAATCTCAAGGTGTCTTTTGTTCGGTTTCACTATTTAGCTTTATGGATAAATGAACCTCTATTAGGTTTCATTTCCCTCACGTCCTTCTTCCCAGCATGCTTTGCTGCCCCTTCTTCTCACAAACAAGGATCCTGTTTCCTGTAATTGAAATTTACCGTTTTTCCAATGTATAACTCAATAAATAAGCCCCAAGATGTCTTCTGTTAGGCTTCACTTATTAGCTTTATTGATAAATTATCCTTTATTAGGTTTCATTTCATTTCCCTCACGTCCTTCTTCCCAGCATGCTTTGCTGCCCCTTCTTCTCACAAACAAGGGTCCTGTTTCTTATCATTTTATTTTTCTCTTATTCTTCCATTTCAACTTGATGGAGGGGCAGAGCGATGGAGAAAGAGAGAAGTCTTTTCCTCACAGCCTTTCCCTCACCCTTCCCAGGCTGCCCTGCGCAACCTTCCTCCTGGCCTGCTAATAAACTAAAAATAACCAATTATTATACTCATAAACCCGCATAACCCAGGAAGTCGCGAAGAGACCTCGTCCTTTTCCTCATTCCCTGGGAGGCACCTAGAACGGCTTCCCCCTTTTCCCGACCTCCAGCGGCTCCTGCGCCCTGGACAACAGAGGCCAAAATGGCGCTGGCCACCCGCCAGTTGTTTTACCTGCAATTTAGAGCTCCCAAAATGCTTTAAATGCATGTTGTGGCTGTGATTTTTATAGTGCTTTTAATATTCTGTTGGGAGCCGCCCAGAGTGGCCAGGGAAACCATTATTATTATTATTATTATTATTATTATTATTATTATTATTATTTCACCGCCTTGATTGCAATGAAACCTAAAGCAGACCCATTGAAATGCAATTCTTAACTTCGTTTCGGGTTTACACCAACCATTCTTCTTTTCGCAGTTGAGACTGACCATTCACTTTCTTCTGATTGGTACCTGATTGATAAACTCACTCTTTAACGTCATCTGAATCTCTGTAACCCGACGTTAAGAAATGGCATGTAAACTAGAAATAACGAGGGGAATCCCATTTCAGACTCCATTGCCATTTTCTTTGAAGATTTATTCAGCAGGGAATCAGGTCAACGGAGAAGAGGAATCAGAGTTCTGTGGCGCAAAACTATGCCCTCGGCTCCCTGGGCTTCTTGGCTGCCACCTGCTTCACGCTGGCTTTCCTAGCCAGGAAGCTGCCCGGCTCCTTCAACGAAGCCAAGCTGATCACCTTCAGCATGCTGGTCTTCTGCAGCGTTTGGGTGTCTTTTGTGCCCACCTCCCTGAGCACCAAGGGCAAGTACATGGTGGCCGTGCAGATCTTCTCTATGTTGGCCTCCAGTGCTGGGCTTCTGGGCTGCATCTTCCTTCCCAAGTGCTACATGATTGTGCTGAGGTCTGATCTGAACACAAAGGAGCACCTGACAACCAGAAATTAAGGGAACACCTGATTCTTAAAATAGTCCATGTTCCCGATGCCCAGAAGTGCATAAAGGAAACACACTTGCTCATCCATGTTGCTCATTCTTCATCTGTGAAAGAGATTGTGTTCCTTCTTAGCCCAGGTTTTGTGTAGTCCTGTTGACATGAACCGTAAGATGGGAGGAAATGTTTTGCTACCTTGCTTTGCCAAGGACTACAATGAGTCCTGGTCTACTGCCCTTAGTTTGTAAAGTTTTATCATTTAATCATTTTTTGCTTTGAGAAGTTATATTTATCTCACAACAAGATAGGCTGGAGGGAGAGAGGAGTTAGGTCTTTGAGTGTGATTCCTTTGTCCTAACTACCTATTAACCATATCAATTCTGATATTCAACAATAGTTTCTAGTTATGTCATTTCTATTTATTGAATTTTCTCCATTTTCTACATGTATGCTGTATCATTCATAAGTACACTTCACGTCATTTTGTTCTCCTAAGCTTTGTATATCAATAAACTGAGAAATTCATTTAAGACATCTTCCGTAGTCTGTTGGTTTAATTTCTGTATTGTGTAAGCTCTGCTCTCTGTTCCAAAAAGTAGCAACTGACCTTAGCCAAGCCTTGACTGGAGTCCAATGGGTTTTATTACACTGGCCTGGATGTGACATGTTGTGCACTGATGTTGAGTGGATCACCAGATTACGAGTGAGCAAGCAACAAGTTTAGCATTGGAGGAAAGCAATGAGACGATGCCAGATAAGTTGTATTCCCTGCCTGCCAAACCTTTTCAGAGGAGGCATCTTATGCTCAGTCAGGAAGGAAAAGGCAAGAGGCCTCCTCCTCCAACTCAGGTTCCTCCCATTCAGGTCCCCATTATAGAGCAAAGCCAAGATCAAAAGGGCAAGTAAAAATAATTTACAGATCAGCCACTGACAAAGCATTTATATTAATTAGTCAAGATTGCATCCTACTTAAACTTTCATCACTTCAAATTGGTGGAAACTCTCATTCTTATTACGATTCAACTTGTAGCATTCCAATGAAGGGTGCTATATAAATTTAAGCTGGGAGCAGCCTCTGGCTTGACTTATTTCATTATTCTTACTAATATTAATAAGTAATAAAGTATGAATTTGGGGGGAGGGGAATACATTACATTAGTGTCCAGTCATTGCATTTCTATAGGATACTTCATTTCAATCAATCAATCAATCAATCAAATCTTTATTACAGTAGTAGACCAGCATCAGTAGAGTGGGGTACAATCATTTTCAGTCTGTAAAACGTTTCGGAAAGCGAAAAAGTATTTAACACAAAGTATATATAAAAGTCTAAAAGACGCTAAAAGAAGGGTTTGGGAGCATTAAACAGATGTGGAAGAGCATAAAAGGTTAGTATATAAAGACTATGGCCACCAATTTACAGAGCACTCTGATATGAGTGTTCATTAAATCTAGCACAGGGGTCTGCAACCTTTAAGACAAAAAGAGCCACTTGGACCTGTTTCCGAAGAAAAAACAACAACTGGGAGCCGCAAAACCATTGCGACATTTAAAACAAATATAACACTGTGAACGGCTTACCGTGCTTGACTATTTCCTGAGCGGCTACAAAACTAGCATATGTTGTGGAATTTGCAGACTTCACCCAATTCTTGAAATTATTTTTGCTCCTATCAACCTTCCTCATAAGTTCTGCAATGGCTTTTCGTCTCTCATCTCCATCTGGATATTTTTCAGCAAAGGCTGTGTGTTTATTCTGGAAATGTCTTGCAATATTTGACTTTTTGTTGTTTGCAAATTTCTCACCACATATTAAGCATACTGGTAAACCAGTCTTGTCAGTAGAGAAGGCAAATGATTCTGTCCATGTATCATTAGACATTCTGTTTTCTTCAGAAATTTTTCTTTTCTTGCCTTTATCCATGGCTGGCCTACCGGGGGTCCAAAAGAGGGACGTAACTAGAAATCAGAGGGCCCCATAGCAAAATTTGCTATGCCCAATAATCAATGCCCCAAAATGCCATAGAAAATTAATCAGGGCCCCAGTGTACCATAAATCCTAATCAGTGCCTGATGTAAATAATAATGAATAATGAGGGCCCAATGTCATCCTCGTCATTTTAAAATAACTTTTTTGACACTTTTTTATTATTTTTTTGTTTGACCCCTCAGAATTACTCCTCCTCATAGAAATAAAGGTTAAATTAACAAGTTACCTTTTTTTGAGGGTGTGTTCTTCACTCCCCTTCAAAACAGTGACCAGCTTACATGCCCCCTTTCAATGCAGCCTGCTTACAGCCCTCAACCAAAATGGCCGCTCCCGCGACTCCCACGTGCGCCCACAAAGATGGCGCCGACGATTTCCCCTTATCGGTGCCCTTTAAAGAAATGGCCGCCGCAGCTTCAACCCACGCCTAGAGGAGGCTAGAGAGGGAGGAAAGCGGGGGGCGGGGGGGAGGAAAGCAGCGAGGACGGCAGAGAAGGACTGCCGGGAGTGGAAGGGAGAGGGTGCGAGCTGGAACGGGGCAAAGAGGGCGGTCCGATTGGCGGGCAGGGTTGCAGGCACGCCCGGGGATTCCCCTGTTCTCGCGGGGGCAAAAGGCCAGCCCCCGCGAATGGAGTGTGGGAGGGGTTAGCTCGCAACCCCCTCTCCTCTCTAGCTCGGAAATGGCTTTGCGGAACATGCGCCTCCTCCCCTCGCCTCCGCCCCGGAGCCGCGGCAAAGGCGTTAAAGAGCCGCATGCGGCTCCGGAGCCGCGGGTTGCCGACCCCTGATCTAGCATAATAATAGTAATGAAAAGGTGTGGCAATGGAGGAGTGCAGGGAAAAGAAAACTCCTGGCACTCATTCTTTCTTGCTACAGAATTAAAAGATTTCTCTGCTTTTCTCCTTCTTTTCCCCTTGGGTGGTGTGTTCAGCGGTCACCCTCAGGGGAAACAGGTGTCCCCCCCCCCTGGAGGAAATGGACTGATCGGAACCTGGCTGTGACATCGGCTCAGAATCCCAGCCTCACTTTGCAGTTGAGGCCAACAGCCTTTTGGTGGTTTCTCTGCAAGTGAATCAGGAAAAACTCTTATTGGACGCCGAGAAAGCAAAGCCTGAAGACTGATGTCTGGGGAAATGGTGAGGGGACCAGCAGGAAACTGCTAAGGGAGTTTTGAGTCCTTTTATTCTGTTGCAGTTGCAGAGAAAGGAGGGTGGGGGGTGGGGGGGTGGGGTCCGCCCCAGGTGTCATCACTGAGGGGGGTGGCAAAAGGACAGAAAGCCGTGTTTAAAAATAAAAATTGGGCTCACCAAACCTTTTAGTTGAGTCAAAAAACGCGGCTGGCACTGGGCGCCGCACCGCGGGGGCTGGCACTTACCGGGGGGGGGGTGCAGAGTGCCTGATCCACGCATCTCTCCTGGGGGTGACTTGGTGGCTTGGGCCCCTGCAGGCTGGGCGCTGCCTGAAACAGAAGCGTGGGGCTTGCGTCTGCCCCCTGCCTCTCCCTCAACCGCCCTACAGCTGGGGGGGGAGGCAGAGGATAGGCTCCAGAAAGCCCACAGGACCCCCGCGTTGAACCGGGCACCCAAGCAGCTGGCTATACCGCTGTTCTGTTGTTTGAATTATGGGTGCCTTGAGAGTGAATGTGCTGTGCTTGCTGCCCCACTTGTCCTGATGGACCAGCCCCCCATGGCGCCAGGGCTGTAGGGCTTCCCTGGCTAGCGACTCAATGTGGGCAGGAGAGTTTCCCTTCTGGGTTCCTCTCTCATTTTGGGATGCTCTCTTTCTCCTCTCTCCCCACCGTCAACTCTGGGGTCCTGTCTCTGCTAGCAGTCAGCCACCGAGGAGGACATTCCCAATGTCAAGGAGGACGAAGGAAAAGGCGAGGAGGAGACGACCGCAAGACGGCTGGATCTCCTCAGCCCTGACTGGGTAGGTGGCCGTGGCCTAAGTGGTGATTGGCAGAAGGGGAGGGGGGCATATCAACCGCAGAATGGAACTGTTGTTTCAGTTATGGGTGCCTTGAGTTTTAACGTTTGGTTGCGTTTTTTAATTGCTCGTTTTTTGCATCTTTTCCTTGCAGGTTCCAAGTATGTCACCATTTTCCAGTGTTTCCTCCCTGTCCTCCCTGGATTCCCTTTGGGACTCCCTCAATGAGGTACGTAGCAGACAGAGCAGGAGGGAAGCCCTGCTGAGCTGCACATGGGCAACCCTGAGGCTGGGGAGGAGGAGGAAGAGGAGGATGCTGGCTGGCTGACCGGCCAGGCCACCTTCTGGACGGTTGAGAGCAAGGGGGCAAACAGGCAGGGGGCTGCTAAGGGCAGACCATGCTTGCTGCCCCACTCCTCCTGATGGACCAGCCCCCCATGGCGCCAGGGCTGTAGGGCTTCCCTGGCTAGCGACTCAATGTAGGCAAGAGAGTTTCCCTTCTGGGTTCCTCTCTCATTTTGGGATGCTCTCTTTCTCCTCTCTCCCCACCGTCAACTCTGGGGTCCTGTCTCTGCTAGCAGTCAGCCACCGAGGAGGACATTCCCAATGTCAAGGAGGACGAAGGAAAAGGCGAGGAGGAGACGACCGCAAGACGGCTGGATCTCCTCAGCCCTGACTGGGTAGGTGGCCGTGGCCTAAGTGGTGATTGGCAGAAGGCGAGGGGAGCATATCAACTGCAGAATGGAACTGTTGTTTCAGTTATGGGTGCCTTGAGTTTTAACGTTTGGTTGCGTTTTTTAATTGCTCGTTTTTTGCATCTTTTCCTTGCAGGTTCCAAGTATGTCACCATTTTCGAGTGTTTCCTCCCTGTCCTCCCTGGATTCCCTTTGGGACTCCCTCAATGAGGTACGTAGCAGACAGAGCAGGAGGGAAGCCCTGCTGAGCTGGAGAACCCTGAGGCTGGGGGGGAGGAGGAGGAGGAGGAGGAGGAGGAAGCCGGCTGGCCGGTCAGGCCACCTTCTGGACTGGTCGTGAGCAAGGGGGCAGGCAGGCAGGCAGGCAGGCAGGCAGGGGGCTGCTAAGCGTATGCTTGCTGCCCTACTTGTCCTGATGGACCAGCCCCCCATGGCGCCAGGGCTGTAGGGCTTCCCTGGCTAGCGACTCAATGTGGGTTCCTGTCTCATTCTGGGCTGCTCTCTTTCTCCCCTCTCCCCACCACCAATGCCACCACCTCTGGGGTCCTGTCTCTGCTGGCAGGCAGTCTCTGAAGTGGCTATCGAGGAGGAAGAGCCACAGGAAGTACCAGAGAGCCCCCCAGAGGAGGACGGGGAGGACAAGGAGGACAAGGAGGCCCTTTATTCGCCGTGCCCCCCACCTGGAGAACACCTGGAGGCAAGCATAATCGAGGTCAGACGAAACACACATTCATTCATGACATTTGAAAAGCTTCCCTGAACAGGGCTGTCTTCACATGTCTTCTAAAAGTCAAATAGTTGTTTATTTCTTTGACATCTGGCGGGAGGGCGTTCCACTGGGCGGGTGCCACCACCGAGAAGGCCCTCTGCCTGGTTCCCTGTAACTTCACTTATCGCAGTGGGGAACCGCCAGAAGGCCCTCAGCACTGGATCTCAGAACGATGGGGGTGGAGATAATTCTCCTGGGTTGCTTTTGGTTTGGTGTTTGTTTTGTAAGATATCTCTTTTGAATGCGTTTCCAGGTGCCTCCTGCCAAATGAAGTTATTAATTGCAAAGTGGGTTTGGCGATAATAAAACCATGTTGGCACTTTGCAAAGCCGGTTCTCTCTGGGGTTTTCCTGCCTCCGATACCTTCCCCCCACCCTCTTGTTCTTGGTTTTGTGTCTCGTTCAGATCTCTCCAAGGCTGACCACATGAGAACTTGGGAGAGGAGTGTTCCCTCCTGACTACAACCCTTTCATATAACGCCTTGCCCCAAAAAGAAAAGGAGGGATTATGACAGCCTGCCACCACACAGGCCCTTCTCCTTCACAAACGGTCTGGAGGGCAGCAACACAAGAAGGGGCCTTTTCTGTGGTGGCTCCCCACTTGCGGAATGCTCTTCCCAGGGAGGCTCATCTGGCATCTTCATTATCTATCTTTAGGTGCCAAGCAAAGACGTTTCTCTAGAACAGAGCTTTCCAAACTGTGTGCTCCTCCCAGGGCTGGAAAAGGGCTAGTTGAACTGAATCCCTGTGTTGCGAAATGAGGCATGTCTCCAAAGTGTGTCACCAACATGGAAAGTTCTGCTCTAGAACCAGCCTTGGGCTAATTGGACAACGCATGGCCTTTTCAACATGCTTGTGGATTGGGAGGTTGGCTTATGAGTTCGTTTTTGTTTTTAATACATATGTTGTGTTTTTATTTTGTATTTTTATGCTGTAAGCCGCCCTGACAGCTTCAGATGAAGGACGGCATACGGATTTAATCAATCAATTGTTTGATTGATTGATTAATGATTGCGGCATTTTCCCAGAATCTGGAGGTGAATTGTTTACTTTTCTCACAGGACTGCGAGGAAGAGAGGCCCCCGAAGACCCCCACTTGCCTGGGCTCCATCATCTCCCGGATTCGCAAGATCTTCAGAAGAGCGCTGCCGCCAGCACCACCAGTGCCACCAGAGCAACCCAGTACAAGAGGCAGCAGTGGGGCGCAGGGGGAAAGGAGGCCACTCTGCACGTGGCTCAGGCGCTGGATGCGGCAGCATCGCAGCTGTGTCCACCCTGAACCCAGATGAGGAGGAGTTGGGAGGCTTGCACCGATCCGCCCAGGGGGATTTTGCCACCCCCCCTGGGATGGCACTCGGGGCGATACCCCCCCCCACACCCCACCTTCCTCCGCCAGTGGTGGCAGGGGAAGTAGCACCTGGAGGCGCCCGAGTCCCTAAGGGACATTTCCTTTTTGTTGTCCTTGCACAGGTCTTAATCCTTGTGGTCCAAACTGGAGAGGAGGAATAAAAGATCTGAGCGCGGAGGCAAGCGGGGCGAGAAACCCAACCCCATGTGGCCCTACGCTGGCGTCCCACACGGCCAGCCCCAGTCCTAAAGCCCGACACCATTTGATATTGCGGAGCAGAACGGAGAAGACAGCGGGCAAAGGGTGGACGGCGAAGGAGAAGTGCGAGAGAACGACAGCGTCTACGGTGGCGGAGGAGAAGGAGAAGACAGGACTGAGAGGGGAACGATCCTGGAAGGTGGCTTGAAAAGAAAGGGCAAAGACTCTCCTCCCTGAAAGATAGGGGAGTGGTTGTGGGCGGGAACCCGAGCACCGCCCAGCAGGGGGCGTTGCCCCCTGCCTCCCGCTCACCTGGCTGGCACTCACGCCCCCCCCCCGGTGGCCACCCAACCAGGTGCCGTGGTGGGGGCGTGTTCAGCAGCCTTTTGCTGCAGTGCCAGCCTTTCCCTGGCCTCATTCCTCATCGTCGTCCCGTCACGAGTCACCCACCCTCCACTCCCTTTTAGTTAGGGCTTAGGTCATTGGCCTTGCTATGGACCTTAGGTTGGTCGCCCTGGTTGCCTGGGGGGCCTGGTAGGAGTTTTTCCATTTGGCAATAGGCTTTTTGGTTTTTTCGCCTACCTCGTAGCAATCGTCACAACTTTTGTGGTATTGGTGGGTAGGTTAGGCATTGGAATAATGTGTTGTGGTGTGTCGAAGTGCTAGGTGTGGCCATCGCCTATGCCTTCAATTTTTAGGGGTATTCCGTTAAAGGAATCTGGCGGTCGTGTATTCTGTCCGATGCCTGCTTGGCGGGAGGCCATGGCACGACCCGCGGTGACAGCAGGGGTGAGCCTATAGTTGGATTAGCATCAACAGGTGATGAACGCCTGGTGAATAAACCCACTTGTTTCGATCCAATGCCTAAGCCAATACCTTTTCATTGCTGTAATCAATAAAGTTGTGGCCTTTTCTAGCCCATTAACCTTATATCACGTGTCCTTGTGTCTTCATTTCACTTCGCGGGGGTCGGGCCCTCAAACCACAATATGGCGTAGGAAAACTGCTAGCTCACGCTGCCCACGCCCAAAGGAGGAGGAGGAAGGAAAGCAAGCGAGCAAGAAGGGACAGCTAAAGAAAGAACTGAGAAAAGAGACAGTGAGACCTTCTGGGGGTCAAAGAAATTACAATAAGAAGGAAACTGAGAGTTTTTAGGTTGCGCTCCGTGGCAACCCGGATGTAACAAAAAGCATTATTTCCGGGTTTTGCCATTCGCACATGCGCAAACGCTCAAAATGATGTCACGCACATGCGTGGAAGCAGCGAATCGCGACCAGCACACGTGCAGACGTGGGTTGCGTTCGCTTCAGGATGCAAAGGGGGCTCCGGAACGGATCCCGTTCGCATCCAGAGGTAGCACTGTATACTAATGGGAGACTTAAATGGAGTTACATGGTTAGAGATGGGAGTTATTTGCCCAATCAAGTGGGGCATGGATTTTATGAAACAGATCAAACAAACAAACAAACAAACAAATATTGATAAAGAATAATAAAACTGCTAGAATGCTAGCCTGGCTTGTGCACAGACAATTTGAGTAGAGAAGTTTCTGCTCAAAGACGGGGAGCAAGTTGGTTCCATGTGCAACAGAAGCTCACCTTCCCCAAAACATGTCAAAGGGCAAAAGGTTTAAGGCTCAGAGCAACCTTTCTCCCCTCCACCAACCCCAGAGAGCTTCCCTCTGTTGGAGAAGCCTTTCAAAGATGGGGTGGAAATTCACTTGAAGTGGCTCTGAAGCCACCAAGGTGCTACTTCCCTTCAGGGGGAGAACCAGAAGAGAGTGGCAGGAATCAAGCAGCCCAGGCCCACCCAAAGTGGCCAGAGGGTGGGCTTGAGAAAACCCTCCCCATCGCAGGCTCCACCAGTCTCTGTTTCTAGAAGCCGCCAGGAAACAAAATCCCACCGCCATGTATCCCGTTCACAGTACTGAGGATGGCATTTCT